ATGTTTTTCATATTTTATTTTGAAGTTGAGCACATACTAACCTCGTTGAAAAAAATACAAAAATAAAACCCAAGTCTACTGGTAAAGATGTTTTTCTACCGTTATTTTACAGTGGCAGAGTCGTGTTACATAATTCTGCCTCTCCAAAAATGAAAATTTTATTTTAAAACATACGTAGACAGATAAAACTCTAAAAAAGAGCTGTACACAATGGGAACACATTTGAGTGGACCTTTTTCATAAGATTTAACAAGGCAAGACTAAGTTCGAGGAACCTAACCATGTTGATATATAGGACATGACTCTGGTGCCGACATCTAATGCGAAACATGAGAATCACATAATTGATAGCAATAATGTTATGTTACTGTAGTAATGTTCCCTTACTCACGATGAGTACGTGTTAATATGCCCATTACTTAAATGGCATGCACACATTAGTGATGTATTTTTTTAAACATATTAACATAAGCGGTGAGCATATTAACATATGCCCACCGTTGATAAGGGAACATTACATTACCAAACTGACAATCAAATTGAAATAATCTATGGATATGTAATTGTACAATTGTCTACCCAAAAAAATAAAATAAAATATTGCTTATTAAAAATAATCTATGCTTTATTATTTACTTTGAATAGATTTTAATTTAATTCCAATCCAAAAATAATTAGGTTTGGATTATCATAAATATATTGATTTATTTATGATTTAAAATGTATTAATTTTATTCAATATAATTTTTTATTATAATTATTGAATTGTAAATGTATTTAAAAAGTTGATAACTTTTGTATTTCTTATTGGTTTTACATATATAATATATCAACTTAATCATCTTTTGATGAACTTCGATTTGACATCCATATTGTATATATAAAATAAATAAATTATATTTATCTTTATAATAATAAAAATTATTTATTAAAATTATTTAGAAAAATAAAACTATTTCTCCATATATATTTATGTTTAATGTAATTATATGTTATAAGTTAGAAAAATTATTATAATATAACACAAGTAAGTCACACAAGTAACAAGTGTCATACTAAAATATATAATAATATATATTTTCTTATAAAAAAATATTTAAATTTTTAACTACTTTTATTAATTAATTTTAAATTTTACGAAAAAAATTTAGCAAGCACCCGTGTAATACACGGGCGTTGTACTAGTTTAAATGTATATACAATATAATATATTTCGTATAAAATAATATAAAACAGTAATTGATATATTTATCTCACGTGGGTTTACAAAATTAATGTTAAAAATTTATAACATAAGCATAGTTTTATGACAGGACCGGTGATTGGCCCGAGCTGGATTCTGGGTCACTGGTTCAACCATCTAGTCACCGAGTCAATTGTTGAATCGGGCTATTTATTTTACAAACTTTAAATTAATTATTTATATTATTTTTATCTTATAACTATAAATAAATAATAAAAATAAATTATTTGTATGTAATTTTTGTACTCATAAGGTTTAATAATATTTGGTTGTATCATAAATATTTACCATATATATATATATATACATAATTTTACAATTAAAGATAAAATCAAAAAAAAAAATAATGACTGAATCAAACGGAGTTGACCTGACTGGGTCAATATCCGAGTCGACTGGTCATGGTCAAGTTGACCGGGTTTTGATTCGGTCTCTTGCTACCCGGTCCCGGGTCGTCCGTGTACCGGGTCGATCCGTTGGACCGGTCTTGGTTTAAAAAAAATAAATATAAGTAAATAATTCGATATAAAGTATGTTCGACATTAAAAAAATAAAACCAACAGGTTATTTGTCGAACTTACATATAATGATAATCCAATAAGTCGTTTGTCGAACAACACTATAAATTATTAGCTTGAAAAAAAAAATCAAAATATATATTTGAAAAAAAAATATTAAATACCTAGCTACAAACTTTTCAATATATTGTATAAGTTTACAATAATATATATGCCTATAACATTAACCACAAGTTTTCAGCTTTACAATCATTTATTTAAGAATCAAAATAATAAATTATAATAAGGTATAAGTACAAAGAGAGAAAAATATTTTTGTTAATATTATTTTTCACTAATGTATCAATATGTTCAAATTTCACAATTTTTAATTATATATAACCAAGTGACTGAAGAGAGTTAGGTTGAATTATAAGTAAAAAAATATAAAAAAAATAAAATTATCCAACCAATTGCAACCAAAGCTGATAAATTCTGAGAAATGCTACGGTCACGTTACGGAATAATTCCGCCAGGATTTGTAACAGTTAGATCATCATATAACCGTTCGGGATAGTTGTTGATTTAACAGTTACAAAATCTCGATGGAATTGTTCCGTAACGGAACGTAGCTATCTCCCATAAATTCTATAATCAATCGCCCTCTCAATCTCCAGAAAAGAACGGTCCATCGAGACACCAACTGGATACCTCCAATGAGTTTTCCACCAAACCCTAGCTGGTGACTGTTCAAGAAAATCCAAAAATAAACAAATAAATACCGTACCGTACCGGTCGGTAATATCGGATATCGGCCATTAGTACGGTACAAATACACTCTAAATACTGGATTTACGGTTATATCGATTTGTACCGGAATCATACCGTAAAAACTGCAAAATACCGGTCCAAAATACCGGTTAATTAAAAAAAATAAAAAAATAAAATTTAAATTGGTAGTTAAAATATTTTATTTTATCTGATTGAAAAGTTGAAATTGATGATTATGATCATTTATTTTTTTACTCTAGTGCATTTGGTGCATTTGGTATTAAATATTTTTATGTATATTTATATTTATTATTATATTTGCTAATCCGGTAGTACCACCGATATTACCGGTCCGACCGGTAATACCGCGTACCGGTTGGTAGACTGGTATGACCACCGGTACGGTATTTAAAACACTAATAAGAGCTTACATCGCACTTCATTTATTAGTCATGCCCCTGGGCCCCTTTCTACTCCTTAAAACTGCACAGGCAAAGCAGGGAAAATTACCACAGCAACTAACTGTAAGATAAAAAAGACTGATGAAAAGGATCCAGTTGATGAGGGCAGAACAACGGGTCCTCGAAGCCTCGGTAAAGTTCATTCGTATACACCCCACGATCTCCTTAGTACCAGGTCGTAACATCCTGCCTCGACAAGTTATTATCCCTTGTGGTTCCATTAAAATCCTCGGCAGAATCAACCGACGGCATGTTGAATGGCGAACCAAACACGAACTGGAAATTCTCAGTTGGTCCGAGAGTGAATGGTGGATTCACGGCCTTGCACTGATCAAACTGATTATCGTCAAATATGTTGTTGTCGGCCAAAACCATCGGCAATTCACGTTTCTGGAAAGACTGCTCCTTTACACAAGTTCCATTGTTTGAGCTCTTATTTCCCTTGGAATTAGTATCATAGCAGGACATAAGGTCGTTGATCATCTTCCGCCCATCCTCCGGGACACGAATGCCATTTATATCGGACGAGTGTGGACCGTGACTCAAGTGCACAACAGCTGGCTTCGGCTGGACAACAAAAGACTGAGGAAAAACGATGGGCTTGATCTCGCTCACGTTAAAATTCGAAACCCTGAACGAGGAACTATGCTTGTAGGGACATGAAAGCTGATGGTTGTCCCTAGTGGCCCGATTGTGAAACCCATGGCGAACCTCGCCGTGTGGGAACTGGAAAAACTCGCATGTGTAAATTTTTTGGTCAAATGCCGAGCTCAACTCGTGTACTGGCTTTCTCTTCCTCAAGAAATCCATGCTCCTGTCCTGGAAACTACCCATCCCGATATTCAAGAGGCCAAGTGAGGCCGGCTTCTGGTCTTCTTGCACATCAACATCGTACTCCGAGGCATCA